AAAACAGACATTTTACAACTAAATTATGTGTGTCGACCATTCACTCAGTAAGAAGTTATTATTATTGAAATAACAACTATTGTTTCCATACAAAATGTATAAAGGATAATATGTAAAACAGTTTGTGTGAAGGTCTTGTCACTAGAGGGTGGCATTTAAATATGAATCAACAGGTACTAACTTTAGGTTCAAAATAGAAGTTTGTGTGTTATGATTTACTGGTATTGTAGACTGATATTTTAGTTACTTCTTTCATGTCCTTAAGATGAGCGGAACTATCATGTTTCAGTATTGTCATGGTTGTATTTACAGTAAATCATGACTCACAGAAGTTGTTGCAGTTTCGAGCGGTGGGTTTATGTCACAAAAATTCATTCTCTTGGTCAATTTTACTAGAGAAAGACAACTACTTAACATACACTCTATTAAAAATATGTCAAAATTTTGTCTGGTTTCCTACCAACTGTTTATTGAGATTGGCTGCTAGTCAGATTGCAATGTGACCATGACCTGGTAGTATTTAAGTTTCTATTACAAAAAGGAGACATTCATCAAAGGTAAGATTGGACAGGTAAGTTTTTGACGACATTTATATTCTAGATAGCTTGTGTCTGAACTTATAATGTACGTCAATTGTGTATTCTGTGTGTAAAGAAATATTTTGTACAATGTGAATCTACAAGAATTTAACCAATAAACTGTGAAATAGAAAACTATCCATATAAAAAAATAACTGTCCCTATCCCTAAATAAGTTATTATGATTATATAAATAGTTAATACTGTACTAATAGGTATACTGAGACAAACTACATTTTAATATTTTCACAAACAACATGTAATTAAACGGCAAACAACGCACATGTGACTAAGTTGAACACAACTACAGCTTCATAAGTATATCAAATATGATTATTTCATATCCTTGTAAGTCACACTCAGCTTTTCGACATTATTGGCATAATCAATGCGCAGGTCACTGATTTAACAACTTTAAAATGTCACATGCAAGTAATTTATTCTAATTAGCAAGTATTAGTACTTAGAACGACTTTTTAGTTCAAGAGCAACAACCTCTTTTAACATGAATAGGGAACACAGTATCACAATGTGTGTTCTCGATTTTAGTCAACTTCTAAATGGTTAACCTTTAAATTCCTGCAAGAAAGAACGTCTTATAGTCAATTGTACGACAGAACAAGGATAAATTCAAGTTGACATCATTTCGTAGATGTCACAGACGTTTGCAATGTTGACGAACGCGCCCACGATCAAAGGTTCGAAACATCACGTAAACAAATGACTTTCACTTACTCGATCTTCCAGTTCTGGCGGGAATCGAGTCTGAAACTTTACTGCAGTGCCCTCAGAATAATCCCTCTGTATAAATATCTTGATTCCTTGCTGTGTAGGAGTCTGTTGACTCCCAGGCGTATTCGGCCCCGAAGGTATACGATTATTTGCCATCATTCGGAACTCACAAACTATAGTTCACTAACACAGAATAGAATAAGTCTAAAGGAATGCTTTGTGTTATGAATGTATCATAGTTTTAGCATGATTGTATGCAGATAGAAATACGAGGTGATTTCTGTTTTCTCGCGATATTTCGATAAAAGTCGAATGACGTGCGTCAGTGATTGACATTATCTGTCAGGCAGACATCTTGCCATAGATCTCGTAGAGAATTGCGTTCTGAAACGGCTAATAAAATGAAATAGATTTTTCTTACAAAAATGTTTTATGGCTATTAAAATAAATCTTATTTCAGCTAAATTTGTAAATATGTAATTCTGATAAAGATAGCAAAGGTGATACGAGAAAAATAAATATTTATGATAGTTCAAACCTGTTTATACAGATGGCGCTCTCTAGTGAATGTTAAGCGGCAAATAAAATAATAATACTTATTGTAAGTAATGCCTTTTGTTTTATCTTTAAAAATATGGCTAATATTGTAATTTCTATTATAATTTTTATCTTTATTTTGCAAATACACTTTGAATCAGCTCCACTGCTCTATTTACGTATTTAAGTAGGTACTTATCTAGTTTAGAAGCCCATTGAAAAGTTAAGAATCCAAAAAATTGATTATTAGATATTGATTTGACTATTACCTACTCCTATTGTCACACATGAACAGTAAATCATATTAAAATCCTCGATTGATTAGTGGTCCGCCAGTACACCGGCAGCTATTCAGGCCGATTTCGCTCCCATCGCTCGCTGCATACAAACTAGGCGATAGTTTGAGGCCTACAACTTAATATCAATTAAACTCATGCCCATGCGTCCTCAGTTTCATTTCTGATTTCAATTTGTGACACTATGTATACTTACAATAAAAGTTGATGTAGGTAATTAACACTATACCTTGAGCGATTGCTTAGTTACTTTCTCTCGACCCTTAAAATCAATCTTAGGATTTGTTTATCTTTAGTTCTATCTTTGGTTAATGTCTAATCTTTACGACAACATAAAGGTACTGAGCAATGATCGCTGAAAGTTTGTGTTGATAGGTAGATACTAAATGATCTCTAAGTTAGCTTGGAGTTGCACAACATTTTAAACATCTATTTTAAACCATAAGTTCCTTTATCGTGGGTATGTTTGTTGTATGTGAATCCTACATAAACTGAGAGAATAGAAATATAAAGCTTTATCGAGGTTACCCAATTTGATAAAATATTAAACTGATAACCATGTTTCAAACTGGCGTGAACCCTAAAGCAAGGCAAACAGACAAAAGACTGAAGAAATGGTCACGAATCGGTTACTTATCTTAATAAAATAAGGGCAAAACATCTATTATAAATTTTCACCTTCAGTAATCAAGCTATCTACAAACCTAATTAATTAACAAATCATATTCCACACACCTATCTGTTCAACTTCCCATAAATCAAGCTAATAACCGATTTATATGCCGACGCCGTGGCAGCCCGTCCTTTTAAACTATCAATGAAAGTGTGGCCAGACCTTCTTTCAGATCTATGTAGGTAACTCAGTTTCGCGGTCGACTATTGTGGACTCAAATTAATTAAATAATTATATGCAATGTGATTATGGTGTTGGAATGTGCTTCCTTGTGGACTAGGTACTTAGTGTGATAGGCCTTGTTTCAATATCTTCGCGAATTTTTTTATTTTATCATAGCAAGACTGTTGAATGAAATTATTATCTGAATCCATACTTAATCCCACGATAAAATCTAGCTATGCTATCAGTGCTTTGAAACCGATTTAGATCTAGATCTGAAGTCTCCTATGTCCGAATTCAAGAAGACAGAGTGAACAGGTCTCTTTCTAAGTGGATTATCGACAAAGCGTATTTTTTGTTTCACCTACCTCGGTTCGAACTCAATTACACTAGACCTAAAAAAACTTTTAGTGTTTTTTTATTGACTAAATGTCTAATTTTTTGTTTAGTTTAGGTAATACTTCGAAAACACAACTTCCGTCACAGAACGTAATTAAGTAATTTTGAAGAATAGGTACCATTATACTTATATTTAAAGTGACCATACTAATGTCCACAGACATCCAGTTTCAAAAACCTAACAGTTAAAATGGATATTTTACATAACACATAAATACAATAAAAAACACCTAAAGGAGATAATAATGATCCACTTTTGACCAATACTACAAAATAAAAAGTGAGCACCATAATGGCATAAATTATCGCGGAGAACCTAACGGGTAACCGGGGCTCCGGCTCGACGTGCAGGAGAAGGAACGGGGTGGTTTTTAGTCAGTAAGAGTCTGACACTCCCTCCCGCCTCACCCAGGCGGGAGTAGTAATTAACATATATAAATGATTTGCCATATTTATTTCAAAATGAACCACATATTGTATTGTTTGCTGATGACACATCATTGGTTTTTAAAATAAATAGACGAACAAATAATTATGACGACGTAAATAATGCTCTGATGAAGGTTCAACATTGGTTTACAATAAATAACTTAGTGCTAAACGATAAGAAAACGAAATGTATTAGATTTGTTCTGCCAAATGTTGGAAGTAAGGAATGTGACATATTATTAAACAGTCGGAAATTAGAATTTGTAAAAGAGACTACATTTCTGGGAATTACTGTAGATGACAAATTGCAATGGGGTCCTCATATTACATCTCTAGCGGGACGATTAAGCTCTGCAGCTTATGCTGTCTGGAAGATCCGACAGTTAACCGACATAGACACGGCAAGACTAGTGTACTTCAGTTACTTCCATAGCATCATGTCGTATGGCATTTTGCTGTGGGGACACGCTGCGGACACTGAGTCTATCTTTATCTTACAAAAGCGCGCCGTCAGAGCTATCTACAACCTGGGTCGTCGCGAATCTCTCAGAGAAAAGTTTAAGGAGATCAACATTATGACCGTTCCATGTCAATTTATTTATGAAAACATTATGTATGTTAGGAAGAACCTACAGTTGTTTGGTAAAGTGTCTGACAGACACCACTATCAAACTAGACATAGGGATAGACTAAGTCAGCCACTATTTAGATTGACAAAAGTACAAAAGTCCTTTATGGGATTCTGTGTTAAATGCTATAATAAAATTCCGGAGGAAATACAACATTTAAATGAGTCAAAATTTAAATTATATATTAAAAAAACGTTATGCGGAAAAGCATACTACAAACTTAATGATTACATAGAGGATAAAAATGCTTGGAGGCATGCTGGTCCGGCTCCACAGGATAGCGAAAAACATTGATGTTCCAATGAGTTCCAATCATGTCAAATACAGCCATTTTGTTCAAATGTACACACTGTAAAACTTTATATAGGTAACTATTGTAAATGTGAGAGCCCTGTAACTACCTAAATTAAATTAGACTAGTAGAATGCATGTGTGTCAGCCTGGAGTTGTCATGCTCACTCAAAAGTCTCATTGGCAGTGGCACGGGCAGTGGATCGCTCGATTCCCTATAACATGGTCGAGTTGGGCGGTGCTGGTGTACGTGTCATGTTCGTGAACGGGCGCTGTCAAATGGGACTGGTCAGCTCCAGACTGTATTAAATTTGTTGTCCCCAAGGTTATTTTCTTTTTCCGTCTCCTTGACCAAATATTGGTATTACATTGTTCTCACATTATTGAACTCAACGGAAGAATGTAACCAAAAATTGTATTGTGAACATGATTGAAAAAGAGTAACCTATGGAGTTTCTTGCTCGTTCTTCTCCATAGGAATCTACACTTTGGAACGAGCAAATGGCTTCACTAGAGGACTGACTTACAGACTGACACATTTTTCTTTTCTTATTATTTAGTATTTAAATATTTTGTTTTGACGTTCAAAAGTGCCTTACTGGTCTAATTGAAATAAATGATTTTGACTTTGACTTTGACTTGACTTTTGTAAACGTACATACCTACGTCATAGGAGAAAAAGGCAAAGCTTTTACAAAAAAAATAAATAAATAGCACCATCTGACGCTATCAGTTGATAGACTTTCAGTCAGCGTTTTTGTTTGTTGTAAATGTTAAATCAGCATTTGTACCCATTTTATTGGATGCAAAATCTGTAACATTAGGCAACTTAACAACCTGGTATGAATTAGAACCTCAATAAAAGAAACTCGATGACATCAATATTGACGTAACACAAATCCTTAAAGCTCATAATTTGAGGCAGCCTACACCGGATGGCAACGCGTACTCCGACCGTCAAATTAGTCGGCAGCTCACGTCGCCATGCATCCGTTTTGCACCAACATCTTTCACTTGACCATATGACCAGAATGAAGAACATTTTGAAACGTTAGCCTGTTACGTAAGCAAACTGTATCAGATCATCTGTGTCTTCACTTTCTTTTATTGCCTTTTGTGGTTTTAAGGTATTTTTATGTTTGTTTACATTATGGTACTGAGGTAATAGGTCATTGGTTTATGATGAGACATTCGTTATGTCAGATTTATTGTCTTTTCTTATGCGAGTAGAAATGATTGTTGATGGGATTTTTGTTTCACCGTCATCATGATCAGGTAGACGACCTCTACTGCTAAAAACAGGCCTTCCACTTAACCTGCCATACCACGACAAAAAACTAAATTTTGAAAAAGCCTCTTCACGATTTTTATGCTTGCCACCACTGAATAAACTATAGAATCGAAGGCCTCTACATAAGCCATGTTAAATAAATACAAAAAGTTACTATCACATACAAAATTTTCAATCACTAATTTTATTTTGGCACTAGGCTTGACAAAAAATTATTTCACGTATTTTGAGACATTCGTTAATTCTTTTTTTTTTAGCAAAAAACTTGTAATAGGTAAAAGATTAAGTAACACACATTTATTGTTATCTAAGTATATCCAATTTGGTGTATTTCACACGTATTTTAATGTTCTTACTGCTACACCATTAGCTGTAGTAACACAAGTTACGCACAAAGAATCAGGCATACGCGACTACGCTAGCTTAGAAATTACATTTTTAGGCATATTTTATGCCAGTGCAACTATGGCTACCACTCTGGCTATGAAAACAAGCTCAGTCAAGAAAGTAAGAGTATTAGACACTGATCTTGGCATTGGTATTATAGATGCTGTAACCTGCACTTGTGGATATTTTGTGAGGTGTTGGCTCCTGAATAAACAAGACATATAAAAAAGGGCAAGAAGTAGGTTCCCTAAATTTACCAAAAACGGAATCAAAGGTTTTGTTTGATGTTTGGCCATCTCTGACTCCTAAGTCATAAATATAGCTAAGATAACAAAATGGTTACCCAAGATTCTGTAAAATCTAATCAATTGTAAATCGTTGCTTAATTCTTATGGCATAGGAATCTAATTTTCATTCGATTTCCCTTGGTTGGCAAATTTCAAGTCCACAGGACCATCGTTGAGGCAACAAAGTGATAGTTTTCCTATACAGTGTAGCTCCACACACACATATGAATTAAAATGTACCACAAGCTTACAAGCACTGAGTATCGCCGAAGATAGTAACCATTGCGCATTCTGATAACACGTCACGTATTAATGCTCGTATATAAACCAAGCCCAGGAGTACCCTGGCATACATTGTGATCGTTCATCGGACGGCAGTAAGTCGTCTGCCGTCAATTAATTAAACAAAAAAATATTTAGTGAAAAGTGCAACATGGCTAAATTATTAGTGCTTCTAACCCTCGCGGCAGTTGCCAGTGCAAACTCATATACCGCCTCCAAATTAGTAAAGAACATTTATAATGAATGTTTGAGCCAATATTCGGTGGAATGTGTGAAACCTAGGACCCTGCAGTGGATTTCGCAAGTGTCCAACGATGACGAGATCAAGATCACGGATGACCTCTCTATCGTGAAGACCGCGACCTTAGAAGATGACATGGGAGTTGACCCCAGGATGGCACAGGACCCTGCCTACCAGATCGTAGACAAAGTGGATCGGTTCCTCCAGACACATACACTCAAAGTGAAAGTTCCTGAAGAAATCACGAACAGTGCTGCTTCTGAGTATGTGCCGCGGTCTCTGCTCACCGACTTGCCGTCAGAGTTGGAGATGTCTCTGGATGGTGAAGAGGACGGACAAGTATTCGAGGGCAGGAAGAAGAAGATCAAGCTCCCCAAGCCTTTGAGGATCAAGAGCAGTTAGTGGATCAAATAAATTTACGTTTAAAAATTCGTAAACCAGGTTTTAATCAAGTGTTTACTTTTCAGAGCACGGATTCATCAAGAAAGTTCTGCTGCCCTTCCTCCTCGGTCTGAAATTCAAGGCTTCAGTGCTGGTCCCCTTGGCTCTTGCTCTCATCGCTCTCAAGACCTGGAAGGCTCTGACTTTGGGTCTCATCTCCCTTGTTCTATCTGGTACGGCCATTTGTAGTAGGCTTATATTCTTTTCTTATAATGAAACAAAGCTGAGAGCTAAGTAAAAATACAGCAAACATATTCACATGTCTCCGTACTTTTTCAAGGACATACAATAGGTTGCACAATTTATTAACTACATTATGAACTCTATAGTTGAGACGAATAAATGGCTCTTCATTTAGCATATCCAGTAGAAGTAGTGTTATCTATGCACAAAAAATAATCGTTTAATTCTTTCTGTTCACAGGTGCTATGGTAATCTTCAAATTCACGAAACCCAAGGTCGTGAACTACGAAGTCATCCACTACCCTCAGCACCACGTTGAACATCACGTCGACCACCACGCTCCCGGCTGGGACTCGCACGGACCCTACCAGGCCAGAAACTTCGACGACGCACACGAAATGGCCTACTCTGCACAAATCTAAAGAAAATGAAACAAATAGCTTTAAAACTACGGACCTCTGACTAAATTATTTAATTATTTATTTATTTATTAACTTATTGTAAATAAATTCTGTAAAAAGTAAGTTTCACATTCGATCGAGAGTTGTTTATTTTCCTGTTTCATATCACGACCACGTCCGGCACTTTATCTAACCTTAAATCTGCCGGACTGTCTTCCTGATTCTTATCACGGACTTCCAACATTGTGCTGGTGGGCATACTAAATTTTCCATCATCTCTAATTAATTCAAATTCATTAAATTTTGGCTTCGATACATGTCGACTCTGAAATTTGATGCGGTTCATAGGTAATAGTTTTGTTACCGGTAAAGCGTTGTCAAAAATTTCATTACTGCCGATGTGTCCGAAAAGTGAACCAAATTCCTCTTTGTCCTGATAGGATTTTTTCAATTGTTCCTTGGCTAGTATTTTATCGTTAAGGACAATATCTACCTTAAAATTCTCTGTGCTTACATCATTGATGTCGTATTCAGGTTTTTCTAAATGATTTCTTGGTTTTTCAGACTTTTTATGAATAATCTTCTCAATTTCATGAAGGTTAGTTTTCATTTGTTCTTTTGCATATTCATCTGATTCAAAGTTTAAAACTATATGCGTTTTATCGCCACGGCCTAGTAGCATGTCCTCAGAAAACGCTTTGTAGACTTTGGAGCTTTTTAATGGGTTTACTTTGTATAGTCCAAGAAGGACGTTGAAAATGTTACCATTAGGGTGTCTTATATCAAGTTGTTTGGTTGTTGAATTAACTTGAATACAGTGTATCTGAAAACAAAAATAATTCGTTTTAAATACTACTCACTAAAGGGTCTGGAACGTAATTTTCTTCTGAGTAAATGACCATAAAATGGTATAACAACAGTGTTCACCCAACCAACAAAAATGCAAACACACCATATTTTAGCATGTAGCCGAACAGGAAGTAAAATCGAGAGCATGAACCCTAAAAATGAAATTCGAACGACAACAATACATTTATATTAATGTGAAGAGCGGTAGTATAACTGTTGAATATATAATTAGAGAAAAACAGAATCCATTGGGTACTTGGCATTCAGCGTATGTTGCTTATATTCAAAGAGGAAAGTGTCCCTGAATGCCAACTATTGGCACAATGACTGACACCTGATTAGGTACACCTGTTTAAAGGCGAAAGCTCATGACGTGATTCGAGAAATGTAGCGAAGAAAGAGCTGAAAGTAGATGGTTTAGAAAGGACGAAGTTGAAAAATTATATGATGATATTATCTTCACGTGGAGGACTAAGGGGAGGCCTTTGTCCAGCAGTGGACGTCTTACAGCTGTTGATGATGATAATGATGATGATGATCTTCATAGTCATAATACTGATGGTACTAACGTACAAACAATTCAATGTATAGTTTTGATTAATAATCATTTCAACAGTCTTTTCCAGATGTTTCAGTTATATAATTGGAATGAACCAAATTATATTGTAAGCACACAAGAAAAGAAAATTGAAATTGAAAAAAAAACATTAATGATTTTATAGATAGACATAATTCCGAAAAATGCTGGTAGCAATCAAATGTAAACAGGAATCAGAAGAGACACCTTAACCCTGGGTGGCTTTAAGGCCCGAGAATTGTTTGTATAATGAACGTCTCTCGCCATCAAACCTCAAAGTTTGGCGAGTTTAGATTTAAGGTCTATGTAAAAATTCAATTAACCAATTTGTTAAAAAAAAATAGGCTTCTTATGGATTGCAGTTCTTCATCGTAGACCGCATCATCGCTCACCACCAGGCGAGATTGTGGTCAAACGTCGGCTCATGACATATAAAATAATCACACATTACAACACATCATACTAAAACAAAGTAAAATCAATCGAAACTTACCAGTAAAATACAAAATAGTAACTCCGAAGCAGAATGGTAATGCATTATCACCGATATATTACACCCAAGCTAATTTTTGACGCAATCATGTATAACAAGGTGTGTTATCAAAGACTTATTTACAAAATATTCAGGATTTTACATGAATTTTTCAGGTGTATTACCAACTGGTGTTTTGACGTCTGCACTGAAATATCGACTGGATGTAATGAATAGAAATCTACGTTTCAGTGTGTGACGAGATTGAGATTTTCGGTATTGTTTTGTGTTCTAGGACCATTGATAAAAGAATGAATCCATTTTCTATCCTAATTGGTATTGATGACTGCAATTAGGAGAGAAATGGAATTATGGCGTTCAATCATGAAAGTGTTTTGTTTTTTCTACTTCCATTATTTTCGAATTAGATATTAATATTTTGATTTGTTCTATGAAGTAATCTATGAAAGTAGGTTATATTTCTTGATGGAGCCCTATAACATGCTATTAAAAAAAGCTATGTCCAGCAGTGGATAGAAACGATGATGATTCCAAGGTGTCTGATACGCTATTACTTGCTGCATTGGTTTTGATAAATGTAAACATAGTTCGGTGCAAGGTGTACACCTTGCACCGAACTATGTCGACACGTACAGTGTACACTGTACGTGTCGAGTTCGTAAACGAGAGATGAGTGTAGTGAATTAGACTTGTCAGATCTAAATACGATTCCCTTTTTCTATCTATCTGGCTCAATAATATCGCTGCAACCCTATATGTATGTGTAAACCAGAATTCTATTGTGAAACTAATTCAAAAAGAGTAATCAAGAAATTTCTAGCTCGATATCCTTCTATGGGGACTAGACACGATTCTTTAATCCCAAAAGTAGCATATTTCTCTTTATGCACTGTCACGAATCACTTAACTTTGACTTTGGAGAAAAAAAAGGAAAAGATGTGCAAAAGTTCGAGAGAGACAGAGATAAAAGAAAAATCAAAGTCTTTTTCATCGATAACAACAAACAACTGATACATAGAATTACAGTATTTTGAGAAGACAACATCTATGATATACTTACCCACGAGTCACAATCATAGTCACTTTTCCTAAGCCATAAGAAACAGCTACTTAGTAAATAATATAATATGACAGTTCTTACCTATAATTATCTTTAAACCATAGAACAGGAGTCGCTAATGTTAGTATTTAAATCGTTTATCGTCTCGGTATTGTTTAGACCGATGATTGTGTCCGTACAATGTTGAGCTTACTGCTATTCGTTTGTGTGGTGTGCATTGCCAGTGTTTGGTCCAAGTATGCTCGGGGTAGGCCCAAGTATCCCCTGCCTCCTGCTATGCCTGGAGCCCTGCCAATCGTTGGAGTTCTTCATCAGGTGCTAAAGAACTATTCTCGTAAGTATTTTCTATTTTTATCAACAATAGATGTGAATAGAAATGTTTTTATGCCTTTGGATGAAAAATAGAGGTCGCCTTGGATGGCCACTGTAGGCAGTATTGAAATAAAAAAATGTCAATCTGTAGGTCAGTCCTCTAGTGAAGCTAATTGCTCGTTCCAGAGTGTAGATTATTTTCCCTTGTCTATAAAAAAGGTTATGTATGCCGTTTCTAGCTGACCACAATGTAGCTGATCCGATTATGATGAGGATGTGCAGTTTGGTGATTTAGAGAGTTAACGTATAGCGATTACTTCAGGCACAATGTAGACTAGAGTCTTATTATAAAGATTTTTTGAACTTTAATCACATTATGACTTTGACCAATGTGGAACCTGAGATTGTTACTGACAATTACAAAATTGTCGTTTTCTTTAAAATCTGTAAATAAACGTAATTAAACTTAACACAAAGAGAAGGAAGAGACGTTCCGTTTTTAAAATTTTAGATGACTTTATGGATTTTGATGACAAATTTGATTTTAGGACGTTGGGATTTCCTCAAGAGCAAAGCTGAGGAGTGCGCAAAGTTAGGCGGAGTAACTTACGCTCATTTCGGTAGCGAGTTATATTATGGTAAGTACATTATTAGTTAAATCATCTTCCACGTAAAAATATATTAATTTTCATGTGATCCAATAATTACGACAGAACTTTGTATCTCACAAATAATTTGTATTTCGTGTGAATGAGGTTACCGGAGACCCAATTAACTCCCTTCGTAGTCTCCCCAATCCCTGAATTCCCAACAGTCCTCAAATTCCTAATCTCTAAGAGGCCGGTGCCAGTTGTAACGCCTCTGGTATTTTGGGTGTCCATGGGCGACGCCGATTGCTTACCATCAGGTGACCTGTCTGCTCGTTTAAAACCGGCTTATCCCATAAAAAGTATAGACGGGGCGATATGGACATTAAAATAAATAACGGTAGGTACCAGAAAGTCATTGGTTGCAAGTCATTTGGAACCAGCCGATTTAGAATTTATAAGGAGAGGTCTTTGTTAAGTAGTTGCTGATATATAACGCAGCAATTGCCAATAAGGTCTTTAATCATTGCTTTGCTACCTTCACCAAAGTGAAGACAAAAGAACATATATCAACAGCTTGTAAATGCCCACTGCTGAGCAAAGCCTCTTCTCACACGGAGAAGGTTTGAGCATTAATTTAATTACTACGCTTTACGCTCATGCCGGCTCGGTTGGCGATTTCAAACTTATACCTGATTAGAAATTATAAGCTTAGGTTTCCTCACGATGTTTTCCTCCATCGTTTGTCAGTGGTATCTAAATAATCTTAGAAAGTACATATAACTCGGAAAATGTCACTTTCTTACTTCCCGTTGGTAGGTTTCGAACCCGCACTCTCATGCATGAGAAGTGAGTCTTAAACTTCCGGGCCACAACGACATTAGACCATCAAGAATCATTTTTTTTATGCCTTGACGGTGGCAAGAAAAGCACACAACCCACCTGATGATAAGTGGTTACCGTGGCCTATGAACGCTTGCAATACATGGGACATTACATGCGTCTTGCCGACCGTTTATAAACCTGTTTGGTCCTTTCTTGAAGAAGCCCAAATTGTAACCCACCGGAAAAACCTTGGTACGGAGTTCATTCCACAGTCGGAGGATTGGTGGGAGAAAATTCCTCTAATACCGAACTGTACGGGACCATTTGGGCTCCAATATGTGAGCGTGAACTCCCTGTCGACAGCCATTTAATGATGTAATGTTGTAGAATATTATTTAAATAGAAGAGGTCTAAGCCAAAGTTAGGTAATGCGAAATCAACTACAGTAATTGTGTGTGAAATTTTAGCCATAATAGTCAAATTACTGGCACTCAAAAAACTGCCTTAACCAATTTAAGATTTTTTATAATATGAAATGTATTTACCTATTTCCTATTTCGGAAAATTCTAGACTGTAATGTACAATTTTCTTTTTTTGCGCGTACAGCAATCATTACGTATACAATTTAGTAAATCTTCTAGTAAGTATCTGCTACCTGGCATAAAGTTCGAATTTTACTCAAACATTACCTACGACTGTTCTATTAAACTGTCAAACACCAAGCGGTCACCGGTGACCGCAACCTATTGTTCTATAATTGTGTCTACAAAACCGGTACTCGACGAGTTAAACATAGACAGAGAAGTAATGAAAACAACTTTTTTAAAATTTTCCCAGTTTTTTAATTCAGTTTTTTTTTATGGCATATGCCGTAAACGAGCAGACAGATCACCTGATGGTAAGCAATCGGCGTCTCCCATGGACACCTGGAACACCAGAGACGTTACAAGTGCGTTACCGGCCTTTTGGGAATTAAGAGTTTGGGGATAGTTGAGGATTCGGGAATTGGGGAGATTGGGGAAGGGGGGAGGAAGCTGGGCCTCCAGTAACCTCACTCACACGACGAAACACAACGCAAGCGTTGCTTCACGTCGGTTTTCTGTGAGGCCGTGGTATCACTCCGGTAGAGCCGGCCTATTCGTGTCTAAGCATGGCTCTCCCACACTTAGTCATCATCATCATCAACAGCCTATAAATGCCCACTGCTGAGCAAAGCCTCTTCTCACACGGAGAAGGTTAGAGCGTTAATCACCACGCTTGTTCAATGCGGGTTGGCGATTTCAAACTTATAATTAGAAATTATAAGTCCAGGTTTTCTCACGATGTTTTTCCTTCACCGTTTGTCAGTGGTGTCTAAATAATCTTAGAAAGTACATATAACTCGGAAAAAGTCACATTGGTACTTGCCGTTGGTAGGTTTCGAACCCGCACCCTCATGCATGAGAAGTGGGCGTCTTAAACCTCCGGGCCACCACGACATTTAGTAGTAGGTATTTAGAATGCATAAAAATCAAAACAGACGATATTATATAGAGGTAGAAATAGAATATCATTGCATACATTTTATTTAATTATTGATTGAATACAATGACATTATTAGGTCGCGTTCATTATTTATATATTTTTACTTACATTACTTTGTAAAACTTAGATTATCATTTTGTTTACATTCAGTCATATTATTTTCATTCATGTTATTTACCCTGTAACGAATCGAAGCACTGCTAGCATTCATATTCCAATAATTTCTTTCTTTTTACAGTGATAACAGATCCTCAAGACGCGTTGACAGCCAGCAACCAGTGCCTGAAGAAACATTACGCATTTGATTTGGCTAAAGTCTGGATGGGAAATGGGCTGGTACTGTCATCAGGTTTGTGACTAAGAATAGGCATTTACCGGCCTTTTTTACCTTTTGTTTTTTGAAATTCTGTTTGCATAGGCAGCAACGATTTGTTGTTATATTGTGATTTTTTTTAAACCGATAATGCACATTAATATTTGACATATCCTTTATAGCGAGGCGCCAAGGCCCCATTGGTCCGCTGCGTCGTCGCAGAGTCGTTTTGGTCACTATATTTTTTATGACGACGCAAAATAATATACCGCAACAGACAAATGGGGTCTTGCTCTTACCTAGTTTAAGCGTCCACTAGAAGAATGAGGTAGTCACTTCATCTTGAGCCCTAATCATATCTAATATGAATAGTATTTCATCAGAAAGACATTATTACACTTTGGTTGGCTTTGTTGGTTAACAGTAGCAACTATCGTAAATCCACGTTGCTATTTCGTTTTCACAGGAGACATTTGGAAGCGTCATCGCAAGCTACTGAGTCCGGCGTTCACTTTGCCGATAATCCATAGTTTTTTAGATGTATTCAACAGTCAAGCCAAGAAACTCGCCAGTTCCATGGAACCGCACGTCGGGAAAGGCCTTTTTGATCCATTTCTAAATTTAAAATTGAATGCATTGGAAACTTTCTGTGGTGAGTATTATTATCTAAGGGCTAATTTTACATAAGTAATAACTTTGAATATTTGACAATTCTTCCATGCTAAAAATTGTCAGATGTAAATTTCTGTCTACAGTCAAGAATTAAGTGATGATTTAAAAATCGGCCCTTAGAATTACTAAAATTTCAATTGAGCATTGTTATTTTAGTTTCTATGTCGAGATTAATGCGATTATTAGGACACTATCTACCGATACCGAATCATCGAATAAAATTTATTTATTCATGGTTGAATTAGATTATTTTCCTTCTTATTAATGTCTCAGTTACTTGATCATAAAATACACAATTTGTATGTTTATTACTCCTTCAAGTGAAGGATCGGGATGAAATTAGGGATAGGGGTAGATTATGGCTTAGAATAACGCATATGGGCTACTTTTTATGCCACGGGAAGGCGAGCCAAGCCGCTGGGTGAAGCTTAAGTTACTTAATATTTATGCTTCCTTTTTGTACACAGGCTGAAAATGAATACTATTTTATTATAATACCATTTATGTTAAAATTTTCAGTTGGTACATTAGGTATAGAAGCTCTAGATGACGTGAACTTCACTGAGAGGTATATGGAGTCAGTGGATGACATTGTGACGTTGTGGATCAGTAGAGTCGTGAAGGTTTGGCTGCTCAGTGACGTCGTGTGGAAGCTGACTGGACTGAAGAAGAAGGAACAGGAACTTGTGGATACTTTACATACTATGACTAATAAAGTAAGTAACGATTGAAGAATGCTGTTCCTGGAGGTTCAATCCTCTTTTTATGTATACGGATCCCCAAATCTACCAATTGGCAAATTCCTAACACGCAAAAGCGTTATATACTTAACATTATTGCCTTCAGTGACAATGATTATTATGTCTGCAGTACTTACTTCATATTTTTTTTTCTAATTCAGGAACGCCAAAGTAAATAATTGTCTTTATCCTTAATTGTTTAACTTAATTTACTTATGTGAAGGAATGGCTATAAATAAATGATGAAATGTCCTTTTTTCAGGTTCTGCAACGAAAAAAAGCTGCTCTCAAAAACAAGGGCGTGGAGAAAGTTATTGAATCTCAAACTTCAGGTTATTATTTTTACATTGTTTTTTATTAAAATACATTTCATGGCAATTGACACAAATCAAGGGAAATAGGGAATTAAACAGTTAAGTATGTATGTACCTACTTGCCAACTAGTCATATTCAATACTTTTTTCGAACTGTCAAAAATTACAGTTTTCTATGCATTTTCTACGAGATTCTGTACTGTGACGTCACATTTTTCAGCGGCAAACAGCATACTTATTTCTTAAAAATTGCTGGAAACATAGTAAAATTAAGTTGGTCATAAAATCAATTAAGTAATGGAAGTGTGATTTTTCAAACATTTTCTTTCTTGAGCAGACGGATCACCTGATGGTAAGCAATCGGCGTCGCCCATGGACACTTGAAACACCAGAGGCGTTACAAGTGCGTTACCGGCCTTTTGGGGATTAGAAGTTTGAGGATCGTTGAGGATTCAGATATTGGGGAGATTGGGGAAGGGGAGGGTAATTGGACCTCCGGTAACCTCACTCACACGACGAAACACAACGCAAGCGTTGCTTTACGTCGGTTTTCTGTGAGGCCGTAGTATCACTCCGGTCGAGCCGGCCCATTCGTGCCGAAGCATGGCTCTCGCACACTTAAATTCAATGTAAGGTTTAAGGAAAATACCCAATTAAACAACATCGGACGCCGTGTCGGACAATGATGACCGATGCTAGGGGAGGGTAGCCTTTCACAGTTTTTATTGGCAGTTTGAGCCTAAATACCAATTTTCTTACAGGTATTAAATACAGACCATTTCTAGACCTTCTTCTGGAACTGTCTACCAACGGTGCGTTCACTGATGAAGAGATCAGGGAAGAGACGGACACTATCATAGCAGCTGGATATGACACCACTTCCAATCAGATTACTTTTGTACTGTTGCTCCTTGGTGCTTACCCTGATGAACAAGAAAAGGTTTATGAAGAGTATGTTGGAGTTTTATAGATTGAGTTGTACTGTTTTGTTAAAAGTGTACTCGATCGATATTTTGACCTGGTTGTCGTAAAAATTAATAACAGTGGCGACTAATAACAATTTAATTATATTTATTCATAATGACTGGTCATTCACAAATTAATCATTTTGACTGTATTATCTACCTCTAAATATGTATATCTATACATATTTTATAATAAAATCGTAGGAAAGTCAAAACTGAATATTAAATATTGTTTTAAAAAGAAAACTTGTAGCGTGATCTACAATCGATACCGAAGCCAAAAATATGGTTTTGAGAATTTTTATCTGTAGTCTGTTTATCTGTTTGTCTGTATGTATATCCGAGATGATTTCAAAAAGTGCTGCATAGATTTACTACAAATTTTTCATGAATATTGCTAACAAGTTGGGTCAACATATCGGCTACATATTATCACGCTTTCATCTACGGGGGAGTAGCTCTATACTAGGTATTGAATGAATTCTGACCACATTCGTTACCGTAGAATATCCCTATAAAAAATAATTTTAAAGCCTAAATCCTGGCATAAGTCATTACTATACATAAATGGACGAAGTCGCGGGAATCAGCTAGTATGTACAATTAATAAACTGCTATTTGTTAGTAACACTACAACTATAAAACGATTGCAACCAATTTGGCAAATTTTGGTTGTCCAGGGAAGGTTTAAAAGGTGAGAAGAAAAGTTCGATGCATAACGAAGTTTTGCTTGGTCAGCTAATAAAGATATAATAACATTAGTTAATTAATTTAATAGTAAGACATATGGATTTATGGAGTAGTAAATATAGTTTACACCTACATACATTGTTATACCATTATGGCCTTTTTTCAGACTTTTACGAGTTCTCGGACCAGACAGAGACATAGAAAAAGATGATATAAATAAATTAGTTTATACAAACGCTGTTATAATGGAGTCTCTCAGGTTGTTTCCGTCGATACCATCTTTGTTTAGAACTGTGGAAACCGACGTTAAACTGAGTAAGTATTTTGTGGTTTTTTCGTCTTTATATCGCCACTTATTACCTGCGGCTTTGCTCGCGTCACAAAAGGATAAAAAGTAGTCTATGTAACATATACCAATACACACAGCGCCATCTATATAAATAATTTCGTTTTCCGTCGAGAATATCAAATTTTTCCGGGATAAAAAGTACCCTATTATTTAATCCAGACTTCTAACTTTACGTCTGCAAAATTTCAAAGCAATCGGTTTAGTAGTTACTGCGTGAAAGCGGAACAAACAAACAAACTCATTTTCCGATTTATAATATTATTAGTAAGGATTTTTTCTTAAACGTATAATTGGAAAAATCAGTATAGACTTCTTAGTAACTAAAGCGAAGTGTGAACCTTATCTTATTCCCTTCAGATTTCTTTCATTTTAACCAACTTCTAAAAAAAGTAGGAGGTTCTCAGATTGACCTGTATGTATGTGTTTATCCGCAATTATCTTGTGACTGGCTGAATTGATTTAGATATAGTTTGTTACATTTAGGCCACGTTTGGAGTTTTAATACATTACCCGAATTAATTATTAACCGACTTCAAAAAGGAAGAGATGAGGTCGGTTTTTTTTTAGGCCTAGAAAAAAATCTTACCAGCCTTTTTTCATGCGCTACTCAGGGTTGGCCAAAGCAGTATTTAAAGCATTACAAAAACATGCTTTTTTTTATTAACCATTATATTTACCCGTCGAGCGTCCGCGATCATTGCTTGAAAATGCCTCAAATGTCGAAGTGCTTTGTAGGTATTTAATTATTTTGGGTAGACTTTCAGAAAAATTAAGATTTCGTCATTGTACAGATATTAACACAATATAAATTATACCTTCGTGGATTCGTCATGAGTTTATCTGATTATTGGTATATAGTTATATCTAATAAATTAAATCTAACCTATCTATACATATGTAATATGTAGGATAATACAGGAGCAAATAACGCACAATTTTGATTTATTTAAAACAGAAAGTTTATTGTTAACATCAATTGAAACACAAATCAATTAGATCAAACATGTAGGTACACATTACCAATACCAACCTAAAACAGAAAAATCGACAATTAAAGGTTTTTACTTCCAATAATTCAGTAGATCGACACTGTATTACATTAATCAGTTGAACCAGCACTTTAACTTTTCTTCTATGAAACTTTGAAACAATTAGAAAATATTACAATCATAAATCTACCCGAGGTTTTGCATTCTATCAAAAAAAACGCGGGCTGCTGTCCACTGTCACTGTCCCACTATGTGTCAAACGTCATTATTGTTAGGCGACGAACACAAGGCTGTAAAGCGTCTAAAGCATCTTACACATATAAGATTATCTATCTTATTAATCCTGTCGATAGATAGATAATCTTATACCTCTAGATAGATAATCTTATTAATCCTGTGATTGATTTTTATTATTCTTTTCAGAAAATTACACAATGCCCGCTGGCAGTTACTGTGTTATCTTCCCAATAGCTGCTTCTAGTGTTGATCCTTCTTGGGGACCAGAACCTGATAAATTCAGACCAGAAAGATGGCTACATGGCGATTTTAGGCACAATAAGGAGTATTCTGCATTTGGCTTAGGAAAGAGAGCTTGTATAGGTAACAATACATTTTTAATTGGATTTACTTAACTATATTCCGCTAAATTCAAATCGAGAATCGAATCTATAAACACGTGAATCTAATAAATCGGTAATTACTTAACCAATAACAGCATCATTTCTTGGACCCTGTAACTAGCGCATCAAGCTATACCAGTCCATTCTATACTTAGCTTAAAAATTAACTTTATTGGTTTAGAATTAAAGATTAAAATCATTTGTGTCTGTATTAACCAATAGATGTTTGTGTTTCTTCCAGGTCGAACGTACGCCATGATATCAATGAAGGTGACGTTAGCACATTTCTTGAGACAGTACCGAGTGAAGGCAGACCTGAGCAAATTGAAGCTGAACTTTGACTTCTTGTTGAAACCTATTTCAGGACACGATATCAGTATTGAAAGTAGAAGAAAATAAAGCTTTGAAATATTACTTTTGTTTATTTTTTTATTCAACACATCATCATCATCCTTGTTTGAAGTTTCATTCATCGGTATAGGTACGCAACATCTACGATTTAGGAAGACGGGCTAGCTTCATAGACAGACAGACTTATTTTTTGAGGGAGGAAAATCATTCATTGACTTCTCTCACCCGGGTGAGGCGAGAGGGAATGTCAGACTCTTACTGACTAAAAACCACCCCGTTCCTACTCCTGCACTTCGAGCCGCAGCCCCGGCAACCCGTAAAGTCCTCCGCGGCTTCGTATCGGCATCAGCTCTATTGGACCCCCTCTGTGATAGTCTGATGACTCTTTGAAGAACGCGAAGCGCCGTACGATTGGGTCCGGTTCTGGTCGGGTCACCCGTGCTCGCCGTCCGCAGGCCCGTGCTTACGGTAGCCGGAGATCGTCTCGCGACAGGGGTACCAAGGGTTAGAACGCCTATTATGTACCATTTTTTTGTGGTTTTGTTATAGCATACCTAATACTATTGAGTTGAGTGTGACATATAAAATATTATAATAATATACATTATTATACACTCGAGAAATCTATAGTAACGTCAAATCAAAAATACTGAAAACACCTAAAAATAGTTTAGTCAGAAATATATAACATAACATCACGCCTTTTATCCCTGAAGGGGTAGGCAGAGGTGTACATTATGCCACTGTACAGTGTAACACCCACTTTTAACTATTTGTGTTATGAGTCCCATGTAATAGGGGGTGAGCCTATTGCCATATACCGGGCACATTTCCAGACTCCGTGCTACTACTGAAGTTTTTTAAAAACACAGTAATACTTTGCCCGACCTGGGAATCGAACCCGAGACCCCTAGCTTGGCAGTCGCACTTGCGACCACTAGGCCAACGAGGCAGTAGAAATACAATATCCTGTTTAACCAAAATTGAGAATTTCACCTGAAAGAATCTTGGCATTATAATTATATAAAGGACATTTGAAATCTGAATAACATTTTCGATCTTTAGTTCTATTGACACACATGTGTATATTTTGAAACAAAAAATATGATTACATAGAAACATTACTTTGACATGTAATAGGCATGGCGACTATTTTTTAATTTTTTGTCCGTCTTTTAGATATTTTAAAAATCTTCGATACGTATTTTTTTTTCTCGTATCCAAAAAAACATGTAGATATTTTGAGTTAAAATGACGCGTGACGTCACAATTAGGTACGATTTCTCCGTAAGTGTGACGTCAACACCCCCCACTCCCTAACTTTAATGCGGAATAACTACGTATTCTTCTGTTAATTTGATAAAACAAAAAATACGTGTCTGATATTTTAGTGCGATCTTAATGACGGACTAATTACTTTTTTGATTTTTTTACCCTGTCGACACGCCTATTGAACATGTGTGAGTGTATGATTCTAAAAGACAAGTAAACAAACATACTCACACGCATTAATATTATATTATTAATAATTATTTTATAACCTATGTTTAAAATACTCCCTCGTTGACCGAATGGTCGCAAATGCGACTGCCGGCCAAGGGGTTTTGGGTTCGATTCCCATGTCGGGCAAAGTATTACTGGGTTTTAAAAAAAATCTCAATAGTAGCACAGAGTCTGGAATTGTGCCCGATATATGGCAACAGGCTCACCCCTATTACATGGGACTCATAACCTAAATAGTGAAAAGTGAGTATTACATTGTACAGTGGCATAATGTGTACCTCTGCCTAACCCTTCGGGGATAAAAGGTGTGAGGTTATGATGTTTAAAATAAGCGATTGTAACTCCCTCATTCTTAAAGTGGGAGTGAGTTTAAACCTGCATCAAAACCGGTTCAGCCGATCGCGAGGTAGTCACGCAGAAACATATATACAAACACACATGCATATATACATACATAGATCAACTGAGAACCACCTATTTCTTTAAGTCGGTTAAAAAATATTTATATGTTCTCGTACAATCCAATCTTATTTCTTTACCTTAGGCACTTCAAAAATAAAATAAACATAATTATAAAAGTTTATTGACATGTACAAAAAAAATAAAATAAGCCTTAATGTCTTCGGCATTAGTATTTTTTTTAATGGGGGAAAATCATCGTATGACTTCTCCCGCCTGACCCAGGCGGGAGAAGTCATACAGGGAGCAGTTTAACACTCCCTACTCCGGAGAGTCTAACACTCCCAGTCATGCAGGGAGTGTTAGACTCTTACTGACTAAAAACCATCCTGTTCCTACACCTGCACTTCGAGCCGGAGCCCCGGTAACCCGTTAAATTCTCCGCAGCATATCATGAGTATATGCTTATGCTATACTCATAGACGCGATTACAGATAGGTAATCATAAAAAATTACTGCCTCGTTGGCCAAGTGGTCGCAAGTGCGACTGCCGGGCAAGGGGTCTCGGGTACGATTCCCGGGTCGGGCAAAAATTCTCAGTAGTAGCATGGAGTCTGGAATTGTGCTCGGTATATGGCAATACGCTCACCCTCTATTTCATGGGACTCATAATATAAATAGTGAAAAGTGACTGTTACATTGTACAGTAGCATTAAGTGCCGTAATGTGCACCTCTGCCTACCCCTTCGGGGATAAAAGGCGTGATGTTATGTTATGTTATGTTATGTGTAATAATGAAAAAATGTCTTATAAATTTTTATTCACACGTCTCAATTGCGGGTGTAAGTAAATAATTTTATGGTTACCCATCAAGGTGATAGAAAACAAATAAAATCAGTTCACATAACTTGAACATGACAATTGTATTATTAACAACTGATAAAAACATGTCTTCAGTGATAATATTTTATAGTAAAATTGAAATACATCTAACTGACGATAGTACTAAAGCTTGAGCATCTACATATAAAAAATTTCAACATATTTCCATAATTTCAAGGTTTTTTGAAAGAATAAAATATCGTGAAGTGTATAGAAGTTGTAGTAGTATTTGAAATGCTTAGTGTTGTGCTTCTGTTTGTGGTGTGGTGCGCATGCGTGGTGCTGGTGAGGCGGCTGCGGCCAGCTCATCCGCTACCACCATCTTACCCTGGAGAGCTGCCGATCTTGGGACATACACATTTGATTAGCGGTGATACTGAAAGTATGTAGACCTTTCTTTGGCTATCATGTGAATATTTCAACCAAGTAGCTAAAGAGCATTTGTTTTTTGAGGTTGGAAAATCATCCAATTACTTTTCTAGCCTGGGTGAGGCGGAAGGGAGTTTTAGACTCTTACTGACTAAAAAAACCACCCCATTCCTACTCCTACACTTCAAGTCAGAATCCCAGCAATCCTTTAAGTCCTCCGCCAATTAAAGCCTAGCCTGTTTAGTAAATGGCATCATTTAAACATCTTTCTTTTGGGTGATAGTTCTATCCTAACATATCCCATTATTCTAGCAGCGAAATGGTTTGAACGACAAATTCTTCACCATTTAACTACTGATATAAAAGGGATAAGTCATTTAATTAAACAGCTGGGCATCAATTGACTGACATACCTACACCTATAATACCTATTATACCTTTACAGATTGGGAACCTTCGACTTATATTGAACAAAAATGCGATAAATAAGTTAGATAATATGAATAATGATAATTAAAAAAGCCTATTCGGTTTTCCTCTAAAAGCTTCAACCATTTTTTTGCTTTTATGCAATTCATTTTGCTTAATTTATTCGAAACAGTTACTCAATTTGTCATTCTTTCTAGAAATATGGGAGATTTTGAAAGAAATGTCAGAGAAATGTGTGGAAAATGGTGGAGTCTTACACGCAAAAATTGGAACACAAATATATTACTGTAAGTATTTATGAAAAGTCAATCACCTTTTAGTTGTATATTAAAACTACATTACAATATATTTATACTTGCCTTGCTTTCAATTCAAGGAATATTTACACCGAACAAGCAATTAGTATTTTTTAAATAGACGTAGTTATAAAATACATTTTTGGCGCATATGTCACGGCTGACTGAGGAGTCTTGGGTTCAATTCTCTGGTGGGGTAAAGGTGTACTTTTGCTCCTTCTCATCCATGGACAAAATGTTGCAATATATTAAAAAAATACAAGATCGACGATTTAGTTTTCTAATTTCTATTAACCAGCTCTTGTTTCTATGTATAGTGGTAACGGATCCTGATGATGCGTTGACGGTGGCCAACAACTGCCTCCACAAACATTTCATTTACGATTACGTGAGGACCTGGCTTGGCAATGGATTGCTTACATCTTCAGGTTAGTAAGCATTCATTGTATTTACCAAATACACCCAAAACTTCTTTGCGAAAATGATTTTGTAGCATCTGTACTATTTTTTGATAACAGTTGACCAGTTCAGTTCAGGAGTTTCAACTTACAGTTTAATTAGTACAACTTAAACTTAATTTATAAATATTCGTTCAACAACTGATACACCGGTGTATAAAGCACTTTGAAAAATCTCTTTAGCTACTGCGAACTAAAAATGCTTCTTCAAATCTCAGGAGAATTCTGGCAACGGCACCGCAAGCTCCTTAACCCATCGTTCACAGTGCCGGTGATCCACAACTTCCTCGGCATCTTCAACCACATGGCGAAGCAGTTAGTCAGCGAGTTAGAGGTCCACGCAGACCGGGGACCCTTCGAGATCTCCCCCTATTTGAGGGTCATATCGTTCCAAACTTTCAGCCGTGAGTATTAATTATAAATTATGTTTTAACTACCTCTTCAATCAAATGGTCGAACGCCAATGTGACTGTTGAGGTGCTAAGCAAGAAGCCCGGCCGAGAGAACAGTGGTACGGAGTCTGAAAATGTGTCTGGTGATATTCCGGAAAAGGCTCCAACCCCTAATACAAAGAACTTATAACACATCTAATCTAACACAGGTGTTCCATTACCTGCCTACTGCTTTGGGGATTATAAAATGTAATATTATGCTTGTTACATACTGTCCTGATCATAGATGAAACTTACCTCAAGAAAATGATCCACTCTTA